ATCAACCTTACCCTATGTTGAGGTAAGTAAAAGCCAGTTTAATGATGCTGCCATTAAACTCCCTTTTTTTTTTTTGTTAAAAACTCATAGATTATTAAATTGAAATTAAAAAATTAATAACTTTAAAAAAATTTAATTTTTGGTTCTCAATTTTTAAATCCGTACTTAATAAGTAGTCATTTTTTATTTTTTATTTTTTATTTTTAATTGTCAATTTTAATCATTTAAATTTTGATAAGAAAAATAAAAAACCAACAAAAACATTATTAAATATGCCCTAAATATTAAAAGATCCTTTAACTTTGCCATTTATCTTAAAATAATTGTCCTTTTTTATTATTAAATAATATTATAGTTTTTAATTTTTTAATATATATAAATATTTTTTCTTACTTAAATATTATCATTATCTATTTATTTTGATTGGTTATCTTATCATAAAAAATCTTATTTTATCTTTTAATTTTTCCTAAGAGTAATATATATATAAATATGTAAATAACTTTTAAATCCTTAGTAAAAAAACAAAAAATAACAATTATCATAAGACAGAGAAAGTAAACGAAACTAGCAAAACTTTGTCCAGTCCAAAACCACCTTATGGGAAGGGAAACTAAGACTTAGGGCTGTTTGTTGTAGTGGTTTGGGAATAACAGTTAGTTGTTTTAGCCAAATTATTAAGAATAAATGCTTAGTAGATGTATTTATTTTAAAAGTATTATAAATTAAACATTTAGTAAAATTTTTTATTTAGTGACTTGGTACTAACGGATAACGATTAAGATTCAAATTACTAGTGAATTGAAATGTTTTAGTTTTATTGGCAAGTTTATCCATTTTAATTTTTTAATTTTTGGCAATAATTTTTAATTATTATTTATTTAATTAGTTTCAACTTTATTTTTTATCTTTAATAACATTAAGTGATTATTTTATTTTTATTTTTACATTAATTTATCATAAAAAACGTTAACTTAATAAACAAAATTTGCTAATTAAACAAAAAGATTAAAATTTTTTTGTATTTTATTTAAAAATAATATAATTTTTTCTTTGTCAAAAATAAAAAATTAATGTGTGATTATACTATTATAATTTATTTATTTATTTTCTTATTATTATTTTATAAAATTAATAATTTTAATAATAAAAAATTAAAAAACATTCAATTATTTTTAAACAAGTCTTTATTAATCATTTAATGTTGAATAACAATCACTAACTATTATATAATTAATTAGTTATATTAATCAAATTTGTTATTTATTATTTACTATCCATTACTTACTACCATTATTTTTTATTCACAATTCGTTATCACTATCCGTTATTTATCGTTATCTGATGCTTGTCATTTACTATCTATTAAATTTTAATTGTTATATAAAAAATGCCCTTAAAAGACAAAAACCAGTTGGATGGTGTTAATAGACGGAACACTTAGGAGAAAGTTTCCTTCTAATTTTCTCTTTTATTTAGATGTTTTAGAGTTATTTTCATATTTTTACTTTTTAATACTATAACCAAAGTATGGCAAAATTGACATTTTATTAACCTTTATTTTTTGA